GCGGCTTCTCCGGGCGAAGGAAAGCGGTTACGAGGCAGACGCCGCCGCCGAACCTTCCCGAACGGCGCCTCCACTGCGCCTGCTCCTGCCCAGCGCACGGCGCAGGCGCGACCCGGGAGCGCCCAGCGCGCATGCTCAAGCGCTCGCGGCGCGTGACGCAAGGCTACGCATAGAGCCCAGCTGGCCAGTGAGCGCGGAGGTCGCAGAGCGCCTGCTCTGTTGGGGGTGGGGTTTGCTTGTGTCCCTTCACTGCCCGGTGCGGGCGCGAGGGTGGCGGTTGGGGGAGGGGTGTTTATAACGCCCCGTGTCTGGGCGCGTTTCAGGCGTGTCCGTCGTTACCAGCCTGGCTCCGCGTTGACCCGGGCTCGCCCGAGACTGGCTTCTCTGGCTCCTGCAGAATCAGCTGCGGAGCTGTCCGTGACTAGCGGGCGACCGCTGCCCCAACCTGTGGAGAAGATCAGCGCAGGGCGAGCCCTTGTGCTTTGCGGGCGGAGCCCAAGCCCTGGTTTCAGACCCCGGGCAGCTTGGTTTGTACGCCTTGGAGATGTAAGGGCAAGCGCAGACAGAGGACTGCCGCGTGCATCCCTTCTCATTGGGATAGAGGGGTGTGTTTTCTTTCTTCAGTTGACTGGATAGTTGTATCTGACCAGCTGAATTCAAGTTGTATCCATTCATTCATAAATACAGAGACCTTTCCCATGTCACAAATACAAACTATCAAAGTAGAAGCACTTTATATCCTAAGATGTTTGTCTGCTTCTAAGTCAGAGCTGGAATTTTACGAGTCTTCAAATGTGTCTGGCACTAGGAAACAGTGATAATTTCTAATCCCGAGGTACAGCCACAGCTATCTTTCAAAAAGAGTCAAAATAATTCAGGTAGTCACGTTTCTCAGTGCACATCCTTTTAAGCAGCTGGAGAATGTGACAGGAGATGTTCTAAACTCTTAAAAATTGCAGAGATAGAAATGCTTGTTCAGAGAAAAAACAATTATGAAAAAACTTTTTCCACTGGTTGACATTTTTGAAGTGTAAACTTGTTGGTTTTTTTTTCAATCAGGTTAAGTGTTGCTTTCCTTCAAATGAACTGCACAAAGGTTGAATAGTTTAATTTTGAGAGGTGTAACTAGTAGTTATCTGCTAGATGATAGTATTGGTGTCAAACATTCTCTGACATGACATATCATGGTCTCTTTCTAGTTATTTGTAACACTTCAGAATAAATGAATCCTGACCAGAAACGAGACCTGTCATCAGAAGAAGGAACTCAGGGAAGTTACTTTAAAATTAATTTTATATTTCTTTCCAGATAAGATGGAGATGACTAACTTTTACATTTTAAGCTGCAAAGTGATGTTAACCCACAGATTCTCTACATTTTTCTTTCTTTTTCCTTTCTTTTTTCTGCACATTGTGTATGCAGAATGTTTAAAATATTGTAGTGCTAGCTAGCAGCACTAGGAGTGGGAAATTATTAAACAGCCGAAGTTTAGAATTTAGAATTAAGATTTTGACTGCCAACAAGGACATTATTAGTACATTCAATAGTATCTTGAGGCCATTTAAAAGTAATTGTCATTCAAGGTGGAATGATTGCAACGTTTCCAAACTAGGAAGGTCCATGCTAAGTAAAGGCATACCATGTTCATGCAGGGAAATTAATTTGCAGTATACATTTCTGTGCAATACAGAAATTTGATTTGTAACAGGGCAGAGGTATCCTCCTCTTAATCAGTAACAAGTAAAACGTGTTCATACACCACATTTTGCATATTTACCTGCATACTTTACCTAATCATATTTATGCTAAACATTCTGAGAAAATCAGGACAATTTATTCCATTGTGTCTCAGCTAGAGGTAGTTTATCCATGGAACTTGTATAGAAAGCGGCATTAGCACAATGTAGTTCATTACACTGTAGAATATCATGTTCAGTAAAGATATGAAAAGAAAAGGGAGACTTTCTGAACTGCTTACACCCACATACTGTTACCAAATTTGCCCATTACTTTGGGGTGTGCTCATTTATTAGGGATAGTTTCTAGGGTCTTGGTGATTCTGTCAATGTGCTGCTTGTGTTACTATACGGAGATTTATTTCTCCCTTCTGCAAGCCCTCACCCCCAGTGGAGCTATCTTGCAGGACTCAATCTCAATGGGACTGGGTTCCTCCAGTCACCAAATCAGTCATACACACAAACACACACAAATTAACGTGACACGCCTGACCTGGCCGGGCTGATCAGCATGGACAGGCTGACACCCTCATTTGCCAAGAATCAGTTCATAAGAGCAACAATAAAATGCAGTCAGACACAAGCACACAGGTAAACAGAATCCCTCTGAATCCGGCTGGGTGTCCAGCTGACACCCTCATGGGCCAGCATTCAGTTCTTAAGGGCATGTCTGAGTCAAACTGGTTCAATCAGCCTGTACAAGCTGATCTCCTTATGTGTTTCAAACTCAGCACGTCCCAATCTTTGGCCTCTTGATGAGCAGACCCCACAATATTTTTGGGCTTCACAGGGATCTTTAGCTTAGGTAAAAGAAGCGTTGCTGCAGAGCACAGAAGGAAAGAGAAGCAGAGAAGGAAAAATATACCCAGTTACTACCAGTTTGACTATAAAAGTTATTTATTGCTAAGCATATGAAATATATAATAGTACTAGTAGTAATAGATATGCAAAAGAAAAACAAACAGAAACAATTACAATACTACCCTGGTTTCACTAAGTATTTGGGGAAACTTAGCTCAAGCTTAAC